AAAAAGCGTTTAAAAACAATTCAAACAACGGTTTTCAATGAAAAAAAAAAAAAAAACAAACACAGTTGAGGGAAATGTAAAAAAAAAAAAAAAAAAAAAAAATTACAAAAATAATAATATGGGAAGTAATAATAAATCACAAAAGCCATATGACGTAACACAGTTGAAAGCAAATGTAACAAATAACTAACTTACAAAAAACAAAAAAAAACAAACAAAAAATCTATCCCCCAAAAAATGCGGTTACTTGTTTTTTTCTTTCTATTAAATTAAACCTTTTGTTATTTAAGTTCTCTCTCTCTCTCTCTCTCTCTCTCTCTCTCTCTCTCGTTAATTTGATTGGTACAACCGTTTAGTATCGAAATCGTTCAATTATTTTGTGTGTGGTGTGTGTATGATAATAATTATTTACAATACTAAAAAAAAAAAAAACGAATAGAGCTGCATATCAAAAGATATTAACACAGTTCATGCAGTGGTTATCAGACCTAAGTCCGTGAAACGGCGCCGGTCTTCTGAAATGAGATCCCGGTGAACATTACTGTATTGGTTTTTAAATTTGGCGTGTCGAGAAATTTGAATTTGTTTTTTTTTCAAGTTCGGACTCTAAGAAAAATGTAATTAATATTATATTGATTAAGTAATACACAGATGCAAATGTATAGATCTACATTTAAAAAAAAAATTATTATAAGTTTGCAAATGATATTTTTCTTGTTTATCGTTCAACAAAATATATCTGATAGTTGTATTAGTCCATGGAATCAATGTTTATTATTTTATTTACGGTCTACTTTTTGTGAAAACGTATAAAACCAGAGCTTCATAATAGGTAAGGCTCTATCAGTTGTACCGAATCAAAAGACGGGGAGAAAACTCTACGAAAAAAATTTAGGACGCCAGAGTTTTCTGGCATCTCCTGATCTCCCCCCACCTCCCAAATGCACGACTTCAAAGTTACCAAAGAATGAGTTAAATGGGGGCTACAGAATAGTACAGCACAAGAAGCCAGGCTGGTGGTCACTGAACTTGCCGTCCTTGCCACCTTTGACCTTCAAGTCGGAACTGATCAGCGGCGACTTCTCGGATTTCTTAGTCAGGGGCGCTCCCTCCGAAGGCAAATTCTGTGCGATGGTAAGTGTAAAAATTTAAAAAATTAAAAATGACTTGTGTTGCCATTAGTTTTAAAGTTTAGCAAAAAGCTCTAAATTGCGTTTCAATATATTACAATATGAATCATGTCTAATCTTTAAGCTTGGCCAAATAAAGATAGACCCCACTCACCTGCATATCTTCCAGCTGGTCGCGTCCATCAGTCTTCTCATCATCGCCATCATAGACCTCAGGCTGTTCCTCGTGCTGTTCCTCGGGCTGTTCCTCAGGCTGTTCGTCTATCTCATCCTGAATTGATTTCTCCAACGTAGTTTCAATAATCACCTTTAAAAACAACAACAACAATGATAGCTAGTTAGGGTTAGGGCTAGGGTTAGGGTTATGGTTAGGGTTAGGGCTAGGGCTAGGGCTAGGGTTAGGACTAGGGTTAGGACTAGGGTTAGGGTTAGGGCTAGGGTTAGGATTAGGGTTAGAGCCGCAATTGGCGTGACCATAATTTTTGTTGGCCACCACATCGAGAAAACTCTGCAGCTGGCCAAAAATAACGCCCCTTAATATATAAGTTTGAAAAAGTGCCACCCAGGGCGGACCGACCCCTGCGCCCCACCGTTCCAACGTCATTGGCTTAAAATCAGTATACATATGTTTTTAAACCCTGTCAGAGCAAACTCGATACTTGAAGCGGGACGTTTCTGTTTCCCTCTTTGAATGCACTTCTCTCCCTCTGTGCTCTCTTCTCAAATTTTTCTTCTCACTCGTTCGAACTTAACCCTTAATTGTACATAATTCTTAATGTACTCATATTACCCCCCCCCCCCTCCTCCCCCCCCCCCGGGTCCTATTTCTTGAACTCAAATCAGTCTTAAGCTGCACCCAAAACTATTTTATGCCCAGATTTGGTTTGACTCTTAAGTCTCTCGTCAGGGATGAATGGCCTTAAGATTTGTTATTATATAATTTGAATAAAGTAACACATTTTCTTTGGAAAGATTTTTGTGTGAAAATGTTGATCTATTATTAAGTTTATAAATGCAATGCTTCTTTGGGGTATTTACATTTTAATTGTGTATGTGTGTGTTTTAAATTATATTTTTTTAAAATATATTCTTATTTTTAAATATATATATATATATATAAATACATCAATTAAATTAGCATTAAAGATAATGTTATTATTGGTTTTTTCTCTGAATTATTTTCTGGTGTTTGCCTATTAATTAAAAAAGAAAAGTAATATTTATTATAGAAGTTTAGAACCACTGTATTTTGGGTTAATGAACAATTCTTAAATCCCACAAAATGGCCACACACAAAAAAAAAATGGATTCGGAATACAATAACACTACTGCTTGTTAAGATTTGTAATAGGAACAACAGGAGCTCGGCCTTCTCTCTATCAACCAAGCCATTATTAACAACACATTAAAACATTAAGCCCTACATACAGCTTGGACCGTGGCGTGCCATTGGCTAAAGCCCAGCTGTCACTGCAGTCGAACAAATCCATACAAGTAGATTGGTTATTTATTTTTTTAAGAACCACAATCCCCCCCCCCACACACACACAAATCTTGATATGTGTATGTTATTGAATGGGATGTTTAACGTTGGAATTGTTTGAATGTTTAGGAGAGACATACACCTAATTCGTTAAGAAGTTTCTTGAAGGCATCTTCATCTTGTTTTGATAGGTATTTCCAACTTCGATAAAACCACTTATCTAATACTGCCTCAAAAACCCCTGGAAATGATTACACAACTTCTAAATTCATGATTGGAGTTTGTGACATCTGTTGTTGATAAGGGTGACATTTCAATCAGCTTTGACCGTGAAAATGAGTGAGCTGGGGTGTGAGGTGTGGGGGAGGGGTGTGGGGGTGGGGTTTATTCTTTGATCTTCTGGCATCCGTCCGTCACACTGGTGTAGACTTCGCAGTCCGAAATCACAAGGCCTGGATTTTTTATTTTTTTTTGTCCCTCTAGGAAGGTAAGCTGGTTCCCTCGACAGCTAATCGCCTTTCTCCGCGCACCTGGACAACCCAGGGGGGAACATCATGCGTGGATGATACAGCTTGGCACCAGTAGCGTCGCAGGAGTTGCCAGAATTTTCATTGTGTCAATGCCATACCGCCTAAACGACTCCATCTCCGGGTTTGAATTCAGATTTTTCCTCTTAGAGGAGTGGCCATCCACGGTTAACGGGTCCCTTCCTCCCGGAGTGCTGGTGGTGTTTTCACTGGTCTACTTTTTGCTTGGGGTCTGAACTCCGTCCGATTTTAGATTATGCATCTTCAGTCTGGGACCCATTTGCCCAGAAGAGCATTGACAGGTTGGAGGCTGTCCAGCGACGAGCAGCACGCTTTGTCCTAAACCGCTACAGGAATACCTCTAGTGTTGGCAGCATGCTAGAAACACTAGGCTGGTCACCATTGGAGAAACGACGACGACAATCCAGGCTCTCCATGATGTACAAGATAAATAATGGGCTGGTCCACTGTTCCAGTATTAAACAGAAACTCGTCCCTCTCCCCCATAGACAGCGACGAGGCCATGACAGGCAATTCAGGCTCATACCAGCAAGAAGCCAGTATAGGAGCTGCTCATTCCTGCCCAAGACAATCAGGGACTGGAACCATCTTTCAAAAGGAACAGTTGAGGCGACAACACTAGACACATTTGTGTCTATTGCCTCAAGCCTTCAAACCCCTTGTGCATAATTTCCTCATCACCACCAGTAACAGAAACATTGCAAATCCCATCTACATGCATAGGAGCCAAAATGATCAATAAATTGATCGTGGGCCCTTAAGATATAGAAGAAGAAGAAGAAGACCTCGTCATTGACTCAGATTAGACCGCTTCGTCATCCAGCACATACATCAATTGGCGAAATTATAAACCGACAAGATTTCCATTCATTATTTTCTTTAATTCATTTTTTTTTCGCCTTCATTAATTTAATTAAATCATTATGCTTACCATTAGGGTTTATATTTTTGTTTTTTTCAAAGCCAGTCCCATGTCGAGACAAGAATAAGAAAGAATCTAAACTCTTTCGACCCATTGCCTCTGATCAGCGACGGTCGTAGAGATGTCTTAAGACACAAGCCCCTCCCAATATCTGCATGAAGCTAATCACACACCAGAACTACTACGAAGTCTCATTAGACGTTTTATTACCTTAATTTGAGACAGGGTGTAAGTGACTAGAAAGCTTACGTGAACACACTCCAGACTGTCACTTGTGCAAGGCCTATGCACAATTTGAAAAAAGTTTGTATCTTTTTTTTTTTGTTGTTATATACTAAATAACAAATATTTTTTTTTTAATTTTTGATTTCACGGTTTGAAAAGATGAAAATGTATTTCTTTAAAAAGAAAAAAAGATTAAATTTAAAAAAAAGACACCATTGTATTAACAATGAGTTTTAATTTTAATTGACACTTACATCGTCACGTGAGGTCTCCTCGTCCTTTGTGTCAATTAGAGGTGTGTAATCCTGACCATTGATTTCTGGAAGTTAAAACAAGAGATGTCAGACTTAGAATAGCTTGATTACAGACACCATGAAATTACATATATTTATATCTATATCATATACATATATATATGTCTTTAGCAATTAGTTTAACAAGGTTTAAAACCTAGAACAGCTTGATCATATGCATTAAATGACCTAGTGGGCTTCACTAAATCAAACTCCTGAGTGTACGATGTAGATTAACTTTCATTTCCACACTTTCAAGTGGCCACTAAAATCCCTGAACTGTATGTATAATATATTATTTCACGTATTCAAAAGTAGTGTTATCTGTGGTTGATACGTCCTTCTTACTTGCACTTTCTTTTTGTGTATACATACTGTAAACGATTTTTTTAAAAAAAAACATTCTACCAATGGTCTCACTTTACACTAGAGCTCTGTGTTATTGAGTTTTATTTTAGTTTAACCCCTTTATTGTTTGAGCTACATCGCCTCAAAAAAAAAAAAAGATGTTTTATTTTAACCTGTCAGGCTGTTAACTTTTAACAATGTTATTATAAATATATCATAAATACAGTTCAGCATATTTAAATAGCACCTGTTCGAATTTAACAAATAAATGTTAAGATTAAAATAAAAATAGTAAAAAGAAAGAAAAAAAAATGCTCATCCGTTTAAAATATTGATCAATGTCAATCATTTCAAAAGATAAATAGTCATTCAAAGAAAAGAAAAAACACATGTTTAAACATATAAATACAATTAAAACGAAGAGAACAACTCATGCACTGTAAAATTATTTTTTAGACAATGTTATAAAAGACGTGATGCATACACGAAACAGTAGGACCCGTACCAGTTGCTTCACTAGATGACTGATTATGTGTGCGTCCACATTAAATGTATATTAGTTTTTCTAACCCCCCTTCCCCCCCCCCCGCGTTTTCCCCACCTTTTTTTTTAAATGAGTTCCATTTTTTGTTTTTTTTAACCCTTAACCAGTGATTGGTTAATAGTCAAAGAGACTTTTGGCCGAAAGATTTTTTAAAAAGTCCAATAAATTTTGTATCTTTTCTGTAAAAACTTTGGAAAAAGGTTTGGAATCTGTGAGACTGACGCGGGATTTCAGACGAGAGTCTTAAAACATCTCAGTTGTAATACCCTGTTGTAATGACGGATGTTCATTGTCGACCATTGAAACGGTAACCAGTCATCTGATTCCGTCGATGATTCATCCAGCGGTTCGAACGTCACGACCTCGCCAATGCCACCGGGTGCATGGTGGATGAATCACTGGCTTTTGGGGTCTCAAACCAGGGGTGGGCGCCCTCAACCCCCGGTGAATGCGGGCGGTATTGTCCAGGGTGCAGGACGCCCCAGAAAAGACTTATATATCATTAGGGGTGCGGGAACCATGGTTTGAATCGAAATAGGGGGAGGGGGCAATTGGGGGAGGGCAATGTTTTAAAATCAGTAAAAGGGGGTGGGGATGTGATGCTGAAAGAAAAAAAAGTTAAGACCTACGCTCTAACACTTTTTTACGACGTAATAAAGCATTTGATCCAAATACAGAGCTAGCGTTCTTAAATCAACGCAGTTGACTCAGAGAGTTTAAAAAAAAATATAGTGTTCATTTAAGTTAAATTTATGATAACAAGTCATGTTTCTTTTTTGTTGTGTCGCTACTCCCCCCCCCCACCCCACTTATTGTGTTTTGTATAGCGAAAGAATGCCTTTGGGGTTTTGGGGGGGGGGGAAGTCTCGTGTTTTCAAAACGTAAATAATAGATCAGTTCTGATATTTCATACATATTCTGTATAGGTTGTATCAGCAAAAAATTAAAAAAAACAAAAAAAAAAAAAATAATAAAATTAAAACCATACTTCCGTGCAAATAATGTGTGTGGCGTCTTAGGAAATGAAATAATCATAATGACAATAGCAGCAGTGTCACACAATCGTTTAATCATTGCTAAACAAAAGAAAGTCATTATATTTTATATAAAGCATTCATTTTTTTTAACTTAGCAATATAATAACGATATTATCTCTCATCCTCCACCCAAAGAAAAAATAATTATAAAATAAATCAATAACTAAAATAATTAAATTTTCATGTTAGTCCGTTAACAATGATACACAAAAAAAAAGAGAGAGGGTATGTTATCAATACAGTCTATCAACGCCCTTTCACTCGTGTGTGTCATATGGGAGTGAGTCATCCCCAATACCTACATCATATAGGCTACGTGTTAAAGCCATCGATCGATACGAGCCTGACTAACATTAGGTGTTGTAGATATAACCTTTACACACACATTGAAATCATTGACAAATAAGAGAAGTCGCTCAATGAGTCCGTGCAACTTTTACGGTCACTTTCATGATCTGAAGCTCAGGTCTCTTGACCTTATAACCAAGTCATAATAGACTTAAAATAGATATAGAACGGTAGGAAGCACATTTTTGGTTTAGGTTGGTGGTGGGGGTTGGGCGAGGCCAGGTGGGGAGGGGGGGGGAGTTAAGATGAAAAGTTTAACAATTCCGCTCTGATCTGGTTTATTAAGAAAATTGTCCTTCACGAGTAATTTCTTTAAAAAAATTTGTTTGTTAAGTTGTTAAGGAGGAGTTGGGGGGCGGGGGGGGTGTGGTTGTGGATACTGAATTACTTCCTACAAGTATTAAAGTGCACTGTAAGTACATGCGTCACGTACACTGGAAAGTTATTGCTAAAATGGTGGGAAAGAATTTGTATTTGTCTTAGGTGGATTGGGGAAAAAAACAACAACAGGTCATTTATTAGTCACCCAAGAGTTCTTAAATGTTACTATGTAAGTCTCTAAAGTACCGAGAGTCAGTGGCGTAGCTAAGCTTATTTCCATCCGGGGCGGGACAATATTTTACCGCCCATCCCCCCCCCAAAATAAAAAAAAAACAAATAAAAAAACTGGATGTTGAGAATTTTTTTTTTAAAAGTGCCGACCAGGGCGTACCACCCCCCCCCCCCCCCTTCGTACGCCAGTGTCGGGAATAAAGTAGTGTGTTCTTTACTCCTCGGTGCTTTAATTTAAATCGTATAGAATGAGTCTAAGTTAAAAACAATGTTTAAATAATAGCATCAATATTATTATACGTTTCACCCATTGGTTTTCTCGCTTAAAAGAGAAAAAAGGGGTTGAGCCATCTGAAGACCCATGCTTTGCTTTCTAGGTCAAGGTCAGCTGAAATGCCTCTGTCCATTTCCGTTTACTACTGTCCCCAATAAATATATCATTGGGATGTAATCATACGCCCACACTAGGACTGGGGGAAAAAAAACACCCGCCCACGGGTCTATTGTCCTAAAGGTAATAAATGCGTCCAAGATCTATACGACTTATATACACACTACATTGCTGTAAAACCAGAATTTACACAAGGACAAAAAAATACTCATGTTGTGCATCTTTTATAAACCATGATAGCTTTAGAAAAGGTTGCCATAGTTTTAAGAGTGTTTTGACACAATAATAATTGAGGAAATTTTTTTTTTTTTTTTTAAATAGCTTTCATTTACATTTATAAAACTAATTCAGATTAAATATCTTCGTTCAGAATCAAACCTTTCTAAAACAAAAAATAAAAAATATTGTATATGATTTTGTTTGTAACTTTTAAAAATGAATCAGCCGTGAGATGAATTGATTAAATGATAGTATTTAATTATTTCAAAACACCAGGATTCTTGATGATTTTCCAGTTCATATTTGAATAAAAGTACACCCCCCCCCAAAAAAAAAAAAAAAAAAAAAAAACAAAAAAAAACAAAAAAAAAAAAAATTAAAAAAAAATACCCCCCCCCCCCAAAAAAAAAAAACAAAAAAAAACCCCACAAATAAATAAATAAAAAACAGCGAAAAGCCATCCCTCAGCATGTCATTGATCTCAAAACCCAGAGCAATGTCAAAGTAAAATCAATGAATACAAAAATATTAATAACTTATGTGCAACAGCTGGTGAAAAGAAAATACATTATTGATTCATAAGCAATACAAAAAATGAATGCAGATGCTCAAGGTGATGAATAGTTTTGAAAACTCAAGTGAGGGTGAGCTATAAATAAAACGCGCTGCCTTACATGCAGCAGTGTGTGCTTATGACGTAAAACCTCAAACCGGAAATGCTGATGACATGAGATGATATCACCTGCTTCTTGAGGACCGTTCTCATCGCATTGACGGTTTGGGGGCCCGTCTGGATCCGGGATCGAGTTCGAGTTTGAGGATGCCCCTGACCCACTCACTGAAATGCTGACAGCTTGGGTTGGCGATGATCCTGGATCGGTGGGGTACACTTCTGTGTCGCCATCAAGCCGTTTAGAGCGGTCGTTGTCGTCTGTGGAATCGTGGTCCCTCTCCAGTATCGCCACTGGCTGCTCGAGTTGTATCTCATGACTTACTTCTTTTCGGATTGTTGATTTGTCATGTACACTTGTTGATACAGGCTCTGTTGATGGGACCATGGGGGGTTGCTCTTGCGTTCTGTTCTCTATATCTCCAGGTTGGGCCGTCGAACTGTCGGGTGGATCTGTCGTAACAGGCTCTATTTTCGGAATCACAGTAGGTCCTTCTAACGTCATGTTCTCAATATCACCAGGTTGGGCCGTCGACGTGTCAGCTGTATCTGTCAAAACGGGCTCTATTTCCGGAATCGCCAATTGTCTTTCTAGTATTCTGTCCTCGATACCCCCGACTTGGACAGACGGTCGGTCAGTTTCATCCGCCGAAACAGACACCACGTCTGGGATCGTCTCTGGCTGCCTGGGCTTCCTGAGTTTAGTCCTAGAGGGATTACCACAGCTACTACCACCACTACCACCGCCACCTGCTACACCGCTAGTGCTACGTCTACCAGCACCGACGGAGCTTTGCTTTGCTTTGATCCTTCGGTCATACTCCCCGTAAACGTCATCAAAGAATGGGTTACTCTGCTCGATATCTAAATCTAGAGACTCATACTTAAGAACTTTACCTTTTCTCTTCTGCTGACCCTCCGCCGAGCCTCGGGAAACTGCCTCGGAGGGCTTAACTAATCTGGGCAGTTTTGTCTGTGCGTGCCCGTCCTCTTTGTCTATGCTGTTTATTGGTGTAAGTTTGCTTGCCTTAGCTCTCTCCGCCGCCAGTTCATTCTCCAGATCCTGGAGAAGGTCCTCGGTGCTTCCGATGTTGTAGTACGCGCCCTTGAACTGGGTTTTAATGTTGATCCTCTCCTCGACCTCCGACAAGCTGCTTCGGTTGTCGGCGTTGTAGTCGCTGGGGTCGACCTCGGGCTCCGTGTCGTCCAACGACGTGGAGCTGGCCCTCGAGAAGTCCTTGAACGTTTTCGAATCGAGGTCGGTCATGAGATCTCGCCGTATCCGCTCGCTGTCCATGGTTTGTACTGACCCACGACCGACCGAGGCGTCGTCGCTTTTGTGCTTTGTTGACGACACGTCATCGAGGTCTATAATCCCTTTCACGAACACGTCGTCGTCCAGACTGGACGCGAACTCGAAGCTGCCGGCGGCTTTTTCCTTTTCAGCCTCCGCGTCGAAAGGGTTGATCCTGCCCGACCAGTGCACGGGAGATGCCGTCTCGGCAGGGCTGGTGTCCACGCCTTCGACACTAGCTGGTGGTGGCTCATCGTTTGTCGGGGACGTGACTCTCTTACTCGCCTTGCTTCCGTCGTCCCCCGCAGACCTAAAACCAAAAGTAAATTTACCCTTTTTTTTATACACATCGCGCCGGTAGTCTTGGTCTAGGGACTCACTTCTTTCAACAAGAGTTATCTTGTAGTTGGTCTCCATCTCATCGGCGTCGTCTCCAGGCTCTTCGCTCAGATCCGATGACGTCAACTGCGGAGTCTGATTCACAGACCCATCTTTCGAAACGACCTGGTCCTGAAAAGACACCGAGCGATGTTGGTGCGAAGTGGTTCCGCCCGCTTTTTTGTCCGCCGGAACCTTCGGGTCCTCTGTTGCGGTGTTGGTCAGGCTGTCCTCACTTGTGGAAGAAGCGTTAGACCATTTTCGCCTTCTCGCTTCCAGGCGCTTCTCCACCTCTTCGAAAGGAGAAGACGGTTTCTTTTTTTCTAGCAGTGGTCCCGGGCCACTGCTTCTGCGCGCACCGACGCCGCTTCCATTCCTCACCGCGTGAGACGCCCCGCTTATATCAATCGACTTACTCGCTGGCACAGAACCGGTGCTGGAGGGCCTGCTCGCTACCGCTGATCTTGTTCTACCAACACTTCCTTCAGAAATTTTCCCTTTTTTCGGAGAATACCCCGGCGAATTGGCGGCAACGTTAGAACCAGCTTGGGACACACCCGATGCATCTAGGTCATGAATGTCTCCGCTTTCAACAACTTTCTGCCCGTATTTGGCCAGGTTTTTCTCCAACTGATCCCTGAGTTTTTTCCCCTCGTTTCGGGCGAGGATGATGCTGTTGTAACGGCCAAGTCGCCCTGACCTTACCCTGACCTTACCCTGACCTTACTCTGACCTAATTTAGGCCTATATAATAGTATATTCATCTTTAAAAGGTATACCGGGGTATGCAGCAGATATAGTTCCACATAGACCGCATATATCCGATTTTATGTATAAAAGTAACACATTTTAGACTATTCATTGAAGAGTAACGCCCTCTCCTCAATGGGGGGAAGATTTCTGCTCAAACCCTCTTTACTCATGACATGTCCGATAAATCATTTACGCAGGTTCGACTGGTGGGGCTTGGACAAGATCCTTCCCCACAGACCGTGGCTTCCTCAAAAAAACCTCAATACCCACTGTTGGGAGACTGGGTGGGACCGAGTAATGCTACAGATGTGGTGCGTGGACTGCATCCTCTCCCCACGGATGTCCCCATGGGGAAGGCGTCCCCTCTTGCGCATGTGACGCTCGACGGGCTCGCGCGAGGCCAACAAGCGACTGTTCGAGATCGTAAAGGTGGGTCGGGACACCTACAACATTCCCTGGTCGTGCTCCAGTTGAATGTGTGTGGTATCAGGCAGAAGTCGCACGAAGTAACCAAACTACTCCACGATCTTAAAGTGGAAGTAAATCTATTCCAAGAAACGTTGTTCCATGGCAAGCCGTTTCACATTACTGGTTACTCACTCTACCATTGTAAGTGTGAGCGCTGCCAAGGCATTGCCACAGCGGTTCGGAATGATCTCGCGCTGGAGGTCATTGAGTGCAAACGTTATGCCAATACTGACACGTTGTCGGTAAAAGTCTTTAAATGTGGGAAAACGTTCGCCGTGACAAACGTTTATAATTCTCCAAGCAATGTGATCACGATCCCTACCCACGGGGAGACGATCTTTAAACGGATTATAATTGCAGGAGACTTCAATGCCAAATCCCTCATGTGGGGTTATCTGGAGCGATACGGCTCCGGTAAGCACGTGGAAGAAGTGTGTCTCGAAACTAATCTTATCCGACTTCAGGACGAGAAGAGTGCGCCCACTCTTCTTCACTACGGCCATGGAACGGAGTCTAGGCCAGATCTGACGCTCGTGTCCGCTGATCTCGCGGGACATCAGAATCTTAGTGTACTGGAGGATATCGGGAGTGACCATCTGCCCATATTACTTGAGATTGGCTTGGGACAGGCCAAAAACAAGTGCGATAAACGTCATTGGCTCTTTCGCAGAGCCAACTGGCAAAATTTTGAAAGTCAGTGCGAGACCAGGCTCGGACTAATTGCAGTCGAAGTGGCCGACTCAGACTTAGATGTGGCTTTCGAGAAGTTTAATGGCGTTCTCCTCGAGTTCACCCGTAAGACGATCCCGAGCACGACCGGGAAGCGACCGTACAAGCCTTTTTTTGGAACAAAGAGCTTGGAAAACACGTGAAGCAAAGAGCAAAAGCTCGAAAAGAAGCCGCGAGAAAGAAAACACCTGCTGCTCGTGCAGGCTACAATCGCCTTATGGCTGAAGTCCGGGCAGCTGTTCAGAAAGCGAAAAAATGGAAGTGGGTAAGTGCGTGTGAAAAACTTGATCTTCAAGACGGTCGGAAGGTGTGGAACCTGCTCGGGAGTCTCACTGGTGCTGGGAAGGCCAAAAACCCGCAGCCATTACTATCAGGCAAAGGCGTCGAGGCGAGCGACGAAAAAAGGGTAAATGTGCTCAACGTTCACTTCGCCAAAGTGAACAAGAAGTCAAAAGAGACCCAAGAGCATCGAGAAATCCGCCGTCTGAGGAAAAGGGGAGCTCGTATCCAGCGTACTGGACCTCACCCCGAGATTTTCACAACTCCCTTCACAATGGAAGAATTGCGCTGCGCGCTTGATAAGTGCTTGGCGGCCAAAGCACGAGGACCTGACAAAGTTCACAATGAAATGTTAACCCATCTGGGTAAACAGGGGAGAGAACTTCTGCTGGTTCTCATTAACCGAACTTGGACTACAGGTATTTTACCGAAAGTGTGGAAGCAGGCCATAGTGGTTACCGTACCAAAGGAAGGAAAACCAGGTCATTTTCCAAGTAGCTTTAGGCCGATATCGTTAACGTCTTGTGTGGGAAAAGTGGCCGAGTGAATGGTAAATGGACGACTCTACTGGTTCTTGGAGAGTAATAAGTGCCTACCACCGACGCAAGGTGGCTTCCGTAAGGGTCGCCAGCCCATGGACCAAGCAATCCGTCTTGTTCAGTCGATGACCGACGAGCTTCAGAAGAAAAATCATTCGGTGGCAGTTTTCTTTGACCTCAAGCAAGTGTATGACCGAGTGTGGCTCGCAGGCCTCATGTATAAATTCCAGAAGCTGGGTATCACTGGAAAAATGTCCGCGTGGGTGCCGGACTTTCTGAGGAACAGGACTATTGCCACACGGGTTGGCGATAGTCTGTCGAATTGGCGTACTCTAGAGGACGGACTCCCACAGGGGTCCGCTCTCAGCTGCACTTTGTTCTTGGCGTAAGTTTACGAATTGCAAGAGGGCTTAGTGTCCAACAACGCCATGTTCGCCGATGATCTAGTAATCTGGACCTCTGGTAAGGACATCAACCATCAGCAGAACCGGCTGCAAAATGATCTGCATAGCATCGAAGACTATGCGAGACGGTGGAAAATGGTTGTGAACACCGAGAAGACGGTTTACTCTAAGTTCACAAATGGAAGAAAGGCGCTTAAGGTCGATGTAAAACTCTCAAAAAAAACGGAAAAGATTTGGTATGGGACAGGACACCAGTCTACCTAGGGATAAAGTTGGATCAGAAACTCCGGCTTCACCACCATGTACACGAACTGTGCGCTAAAGCCTCACAAAAACTGGGCTTGATGAAAAAGCTGGCTTGCACTAGATGGGGCGCAGACGCAAGACTTTTAAGGTCGCTCTACCTTAGCAGTGTGAGAGGAACTATGGACTACAGTTTGCCCGTCCAGACCTTCGCGAGCCGCACGGCTCTAGAGGAACTGGACCGCATTCAAAACCGTGCTCTAAGGTTTGTATGCGGGGCAATACGGACAACACCCACGGCGGCGGTGGAGATCATGGCTAATGTCGAAGAGTGCGTGAGAAGGCAGTCCTTACGACGGTAGGACGCTACCGACGCATGGGAAGGGAAGAACACTGTTTCCAATTACAGAACCAATGGGTAAAAAAGTTCTGATTGAAGAGACCATCTTTCATGGACACGGTGAACAGTCTTGAAGAAGACGTAATTTTCCCCGGAAACAGTGAAAAAGTTAAAATGATCCCCGGGCGGGGACCTCACAAATGCCTCTCCCGGCCAGACATTCCACTGGACATGATTGACACCGGAGCCAGAAAAAACAGTCCTGAACTAGAACAATCAGAGGCTGTACGACACACGATTGAAGCCTATCCGAAAAACCTGGTCAAAGTCTTCACAGACGGCTTGAGGTTCGCGAGGGAAAAGCGTAGTGGCTATGGTGCCCTCATCCAGTATCCCGCAGAGATAGTCCCACCTGAGGAGCTATCAGGCCCAAGCGGAAGTTACGCAAGGAGCCTCGATGCGGAAATCGATGCAATACTGGTTGCTCTCAAGATGGTTTACCAATGGCTAGTGAAGAGAAAGTCCTTCCCGGACGTTGTGGTCTTCACCGACTCTCGTTCTGCTCTCGAACTCATGGGGGGAGATCGGTGGGATCAAAATTGGTTACAGCTGTTCTTGAAACAGTAGGCTCCATACATGCACATGGCTCTAAGGTAGTCTTACAGTTTATTGCTTCGCACTCAGAGGCGTCGCTTCCTGACAGGGCGGATTTCTTAGCCCAACTAGGCGCTGCCCTCCTCAACCAGACAAACCCATGACTCAACTGGGAGTCACTGCCTGGGTAAAAGACCATTTCAAGGAGAAATGGCACAGAAAGTGGGACATGGCGGCCACTGGACGACAGCTTTACCAGAAAATGCAGCGGCCGAGCAAAAGCGACCCATGGTGGGAGCTTAGTCGTGGAGAACAAAACGTTACCTCACAGATGAGAACTGGGCATTGCGCGACGCGCAGTTATCTCCACCGACTCGACAACAGAAGGGAACCTTTGTGCCCACAGTGTGGACTAGAGGAGGAGACAGTAGCCCACTTGGTGGTCACGTGTCCGAATAGTGGAATGGGGGCCGACGGTAGGAATCCGGAGGCTTGCCTAAATGATCTCCTTTACGGAAGCGCCCAGCAGATGAGGCGCGCCGTGGAAATCGTGTCCAGGGTTCTAAGAGATCGAATCTCAACCCTTTTGTGTATTGAACTTTATAAGTAAGTTAAGGTTTGTAACACATGTCTCTGTTGTGATTGTTTTCTAAAAATGTAATTTTAAATTAGCAAATAGGTGGCCATGATGTACTTATTTTACAAGTTATTTTGTATTTTGTTAATGACATGTGTTAAGGATGTCGTTTGTACCTATTGATATGTTAAAAACTTAAAGATGTCGCTTGTACTTATAGATCTGTTAATAACTTGAAGATGTCGCTTGTATCTATCGATCTGTTAATAACTTGAAGATGTCCCTTTTACCTATCGATCTGAAAATAACTTGAACATGTGAAGGTACATGCTGTATACGAAGGCTTAATCTTTTAAAATCACTCATTACAGAAAAAAGGA